ATATTATATTATATTATATTATATTATATTATATTATATTATATTATTATAATGCTATATATGTTTCTTGTTTCTCTGCTGTCTGAAGTACTGGGGCTTGGGAGGTACATGCATATCAGTGTTTCTCTGTCTCAGTAACTTTTAAGAGGTGTGGACTTCAATTCCCAGAAATTTCCAGCCAAAATTTCTGTATATTGAACTTCACATATCTCAAAGCTGTTGAGGCTGACTAACATTGATTGATGTGTATGCATACAATGGCTTCCAAAGGTGGGGGCTGGAAGGTGCTAAAGTAGTCAAGACCTCCACCCTTTGTGCATTTGTGCAACATTATCACAAATACTGAAAGAATAGGGCTTCATTCACACAATTAGGATGATCCTCTTGACTTTTTGCTCTCCCCATGGACACCCCTGTATTTGCATACTCTCTTTCTCTCTAATTCATTGACATCAAACAGTATTCGGTTACTTATATTTGTACTATTATTATGCCCCATGTTCCAATCATTGCTTATTAACCAAAAAATTATGCTTTATAGAGTGTCTGATCAGTGCCAAATAATAGTTAGCTATGGGTAAATTGACTTCATCAGTAATTTGATGGTCTTAATTTTGCATTCCATACAATATTGTATATATGATTTGAACTTCACATTCATGTTCAGAAAGAGTGTCAATTAACATGACCTCAAAAGAGAATTATTTAGTTTCTTATGATCTGATCCCCAGATTTCCAAGGTTAATCCAAACTATAGAACAATAGTAATTTTTATTAATTATTTCTGTAGAAAAATGAATCAAAAACAGCTGTTTTAAATCAGCCACATTTACTTATTTTTTTAAAAGTGGCTTTCTTGTAGCATTTGAGATTTACTTGACCAATACTTGAACTCAGGAAGATAAAAGTAGAGTTTTTTATGGTCTGTTATTCCTAGGAACTATTATCTTTTTTCCTTATCTCTGAAAAATTAAACAGTATTCCAAAATTTTGGTTGAATTATCTTAGGTTGTTGTTAAATTTAACAATTATTTTCAGGTTACTGGAATAACATTCCATTTATATGGACAAATGACTACCTCGGTATATAGCCTTATCTAAAATAATATTTGCTTGTCTCACAGTAGAGTAGAAGTGGAGAATAATGAAGGCCATGGTTATTTTTATTCGTTACATTTCTGATGGCAGAATTTTTCTTGCTTTTAGCACTCAATTTGTATTCTACATATAATAAAAAAAATACACGGATGTTAATGTTTTAGATCCACACCTCAGAGTTGGATCCACAAAGTGTAGGAAAAAAATAGCGACCAGCTGTATTGCATAATTTCTTAAGTTATTAACAGTATGGATGTTACATCAGAGAATCACCCTGTGTTATCTTTTATTTATAGAGCTTTGTTTACATATTGTTTTAGCTATTTTGATGTCTGTCTATTGTCCCTGCAGTGTAAACTATATGACAAACAATATAAGATGTCCCAAAGGTGCTTTTTCAAGAGGCAACTGGACTTTCTTGCTTTTTCTTTGAAAATGCTTCATTTCTCATCCAAAAAGCTTCTTCAGCTTCTTCAGCTCTGAAACATCTTCAAAGAAAAATCAAGAAAGTCCAGTTGCCTCCTGAAAAAGCATCTTTGGGACAGCCATGACCTGGATGACTGAGAATCTCTACAGACTTTGAACAATATAACATGTTCTTATAAATAAAAGTAAATCTCTGATCCCAGTGACCCAACCCAAATTTGATTTCAAATCATTATCCTGGGACATGTATATTTACCTTCATTCATAAAATGTTCTCTCAGGTATTCTTTAATATAAACTGGATGTATTAATTCTTCTTTAATAAAGTGGTGGACAACCCACTTTTTGATTGAGTTTTCCTTGTCCATTTAAACCTTTAGCCATATTAAGTTTATGCCATGTGTATTTATCCCAGCCATTTGATTCCAGAGACAATTAATGGTTCATTTTTCTTCTGTATCTGACAGCCCAATGGTAGCAGCCAAGGCAAGGTGCACAATCCATTCCTTCCAACCCCAATGTTGCCGCCACCACCTCCTCCCCCAATGGCTAGGCCTGTGCCTCTTCCAGTGCCAGACACAAAGCCTCCAACCACGTCAACAGAAGGGGGTGCCACCTCTCCAACATCACCGAGTAAGTACAGCCAGAAGGAGGAAACAAGAGGGTTGGCAGGGGTTTGAAAGAGATTTATGCTTTCATTGTTCTGTAAAATGAAACCTAAATTAAATTTAAACATTCCTGTCAATAAGTACATCGACTAATGATTTAATGAGAAAAAAAAATGACTGTGCAAATAAGCAATGGAAGATTTCTGCAAAATAACATCTTTTTTTGAGGGGAGAAGAGTTGCAAGCAATTTGATATGAGCAGTATGTCTGAGTCTTATTAATATCACATGTCTTCAATTAAAAGTGTATAATTTTTTTTCCTTGTCAAAATTTGTCAATGTTTTATAATTTTCAACAACGCAGAAACATCTTATGCCCATTTTTTTCTAATATTTTATACTGTTCACCAGAATGCATCTCTGGTTTAATGATCATCCTAAGATAATGCTTTACAGCTTCCAAAAGGAGAGAAGAAATTTCTTGGTGATATGTGGTCTTTACTTTAACTCTGAAAGCAGCAGAAGCACAAAAATCCTATTGACACTGAATGTGTATTATCAGACTGTAAGAAGAGATTACATTAGTAATAACTCGTTTCATCTGTATTGCCAAAAGAAGGGAAAGTATCGAGATGAATTTTCTTTAATTTAAAACTGGTTTGGAAGCATCTTTAAAGGTACCACTAACAAGCAAAGATATCTGAGCAAAAAGTCTTAAAAGTCTTCTTTGTTTGAACTCATTGCAAAAAAGCCATTTTTAGCAGTGTGAAGCCAACAAATTAATAAATGAACGAGCAAAAACATAACCTGCAGTCTTATGTTTCAAAGCTTAAGATTTTGACACATTGTATCACACACTGATGTTCTAATCTGTTTAGATGCATATGTAAGCATAAAATACTTAGACAACCACTTTTTCTTCTCTAAAAGAGGTAAAAACATGCTAATAAAAAGAAGACTTAAAGAGTACTGATTGAATTAAATTAAGTACCCATCTTAGTAATTAAGAAGGTAACAGTCACTTTATACAAGGCTATTAATAACATGATAACTAGATTTAAAGGTCTTTTAGCCTTTACTATCACTACCACTAATGTTGATAATTTGTAGATTCAGCACATCCACTTTGTCATACTCACTCATGACAGACTATTTGGCTAAAGTAAGATAATGTTATAACATGCTTTGTGAGTTCCAAATGCTGTATTTTTTTAAAAAAGAATATTGGTATTCATCCTGAAAAGTAAAAATAAAATAAAATTACTAATCAAGGCATTGCATGAAGAAAACATATTCTATGACCTGAATTTTCACACCTTTTATTTCTGCTTCTTTGCAAGACAAAGGGTTGTTGAAAGGTAACAACTTGTATTCTTAATTGTCTCCTTTGTGATTTTTTTTAAAGATTTCATCAAATGCATTTCAAAAGATGGGTCACAGCTGCTATGTGCCTGAAACTTTGGTTTAAACTAGATTAAATAAAACTGAAATTTCCTGATTGCTGGATTTGTTAATCCTCCCAGGGATTTATAACTTATATAGCTATGGAATCTGAAACATGAGTATAGGCAGTTTCACAGTTAGCCTCCTGAACACTTCTGATGGGAGCTTCCCACAATCACAAATAGGTGATAAATTATTATATGGAAAAATGAATGGTATGCCATAGTAGATGAATCTTATGGGAGGGCTACATTAAAACAAGGTGAGCAGCTGAACTGACTGGCTTTGGAGGATTACTTTTCATATTTCTTCTGTCAGGTTCTTGTCTGCCTCTTAGTACAGCATCTGTAGAAGATCAAATATTATCACCAATCATATAAGAATAGCAGACCTGCTTTAACCATATATATCATCCTCTTTGGAAAGATGAAAACGCATGCTGTATTAGATTAATACTGCCTGGGATTTTGCTTTGTTGACTATATTTCTTTGAGGGTAATAATTATTTCAGAAAAAGAAGGAATTTTTAAGACTACCCTCTGTGCCAAGAAAATGAAAAACAAGTCGCAAGTTACATGTTTTGGAATATTGAATTAGAACTTCTGGTTCAGTGTTGTCAGCTCTAATGCATAACATCTCTAAAACATTAATCCTCCCCTGATACATTATCTGGGACCAAGCAACTGGAGATAATGTCTGTTACATTTCAGATATTATTTGGGCAGAACAAAGGCTGTTTCATCCTGTGTTACATATGAAACCCAGTTTGGAAGGGCAAATATGTAAGAATAATAGCAACAAGAACAATTATTCTTTCAGATCAGCATTTTTCATTTCTTAAGGGCTTCTCTAAAGTAAATGATTATTTGATGATTAAAATACAATGAATTAAAATGGCAATGAATGATTGTGGCATTCAGGGGATGCTAAGAGATTGTGAAGTATCTTACTTTCTTTTTGTTCTCTGTCTTTATTTTTGTCGTTCATTCATTATAAACAATGTACTCTTCTGCACCATGACCTCATGCATGTAGAATCTGTGGTTTTGCTCTCTAAATAGAATTTGAAACATAATAGATAAGCATCATTTAGATCAGTTTTTTTCAAACTTGGCTACTTTAATATGTATCAACTTCAACGCCCAGAATTCCCCACCCAGCATAACTAGAATTCTGTGGTTGAGGTCCACTCAACTTAAAGTTGCCAAGTTTGAAAAACACTGATTTAGAAGAGTTAAAGTTGCTACTACATAAATAATTGTATTAGAGATGTTTTGGAACCATTCAGTCTGCATTTACTTCAAAGTGGGACAGACTGCTAGCCGAATTAGGAAAAAGATTTACAAATATGAACTTCAAGACTGAGAGTGTATAAAATTGGATTTAAATATTTGGAAACACATATAAATAGGAATTTATGTTGATGGTGCATAAATCAGAAGTAACCATTATTATATTACATTATAGCAAAAAGAAATTTTAGATTTGATATGTTGAGCTTCAGCTGGCTTGGTTTGTAGATAATTAGTAAATAGCTAATTTATTAGCACATAAGAATTGTGTTTCACGCATATCCCTTCTATGTATAACAAGTTCCTTTGATAATGTTAGATATACATCAGAGGTGGTATTCAGCAGGTTCTGACCAGTTCTCAAGAACTGGTAGCAGAAAATTTGAGTAATTCAGAGAACTGGCAAATACCATCTCTGACTGGTGATTTTACAGAATCCTTCCCCTGCGCCACCCACCAAGCCACGCCCACAGAACCGGTAGTAAAAAAATTTGAATCCCACCACTGATATACATACAGGATCCTTTTAACACAAAGTTGTAAGAACATAGGAGATTGTCTGCACAGGTCATATTATTTGTTCATTTAACGAGTATGACTGGTTTTTTGTCTCCAAATCTTGAGTAGAAGACTTTGCATGACATGACATAAGATATAAGAATATTTATGAAAGAGAGAGACAGGGAGAGACAGAGACATATATATTTGGATATATATAGATTATTACATAATTCTTATGTTCATGTGTTTTATGATGGTATTTTCTGAAAAGTATTGTGTATTTCTAATTATTTTTTCTAAAGTTAGTTTCACGAGAAGCTCACTTAAAGTCATAACTGTTCCCTAGCTAAATATTCTATTTTGTTGGGTTACACAATAGTTTTATGATGGACCATTACTTTGAAAAGGGCAGAGATCATCTAATTTATACCATTAATTATGTTATTAGAATATTGAAATAACACATAAAGCATTATTACAATGGTTGTAAGTATGAAAAACAGTAATGTCACTTTTCAGTGCAGTCATAACTTTGAATGGTCACTAAATAAACCATTGTAAATCAAGGACTACCTGTACTCTATACTGACCAATAATAGAGAAGGGGAAAGAAATTAGAAATCTCAGAGAAAATAATTAAGGCAGAAAGCAGAAGAGGATTTGTAAGAGTAAGACTTTGCTATATAATGTTAATGTCAGGATTCCAGCAATGGCCCTAATTAACTCATTAGCTAACAATTAATATTGTAACGTGTAACATAGTAATAGTAAAGAGGCAATGTTGTAATAGAATAGTCATACAATAAAATAAGATATAGAAGGAATATTTAATAGAAATTAAATAATAGTATAGTATTTTTTTATAATAATAGTAATTTGCATAATAATATAGAATAATAGGAATAGAATATAAAATAAGATGATGACAATCGAAAGCATTCATATTTCACTTGTATATCTTGGGTTTTTTTTTTTTTCCAAAGTAAGGTATCTCCCCATTACTTATAGGGATATATGAAAAGCAACAACCTGTGCAGGATTCAGTGCTTCTTCTGAATCTGGGTCAGTCTATTTGGGTACAGTTTAAAAAAGAATCCTTGATATGCTCAGGAGAGCGTATTATAAATCCAAAATAATCTTGTTCCATATACCATGTATAGAATTTCTGTACCCATAGCAGTGAATCAGATTCGATCATAAACTAGTTGATGATAGAGGTGGTATAGTCATAGCCCCAAATCATGTGCTATAGCAACTAGAGATCCAGGAATATTTGTAACATTTTACATTTTAAAAATTGCCAATGATGGAGCCAAAATTCATTGTATGAAGGATGATAGGTTTACATAAATGTCATTTTCTGCATGCCTATTTATAAACTATGCTTGCAGTTTATTACATTATGTGTATCACTCATCATATCACTGTGTAATAGAAGCAATTCACAATTTGTTCTGATCTTAGACCAATTTAAACCACTAGTCACTCAAACATAATATTGCAGTCCCTAAGACTTCTTGCCTTGTACCAGAAAAGCCATTTGAATTGACTTTCCATGCTTAATTCCATATATGCAGTGTTAGTTGATGTTTAAAAAGCAAGATACTCTTCTATTCCCTACCGATGTCCATATTTATTTCTCCATCATTTGAAATCCAGTTGTCCTAAGTCAGATTCTTGATCCTTATAATGTGACTTCATTTTCATGTTCAACATTTGTTGGGTGGCTCTGAGATCAGTGTTGTTGTTGTTTGTCTGTGATCTAGTGCTGCTTCCTGAACGCATGTGTCCCTTCCCTTCACAGCCTATTCAACACCCAGCACCTCCCCTGCAAACCGATTCGTCAGTGTTGGACCACGGGATCCAAGCTTTGTAAATATCCCTCAACAGACACAGGTGGGACACTTTCAACTTCTGTTTGCCATGCTGTTTGTTAACAATTTTGTTGTTCTTTAGTGTTGCTTTGGCAAGTGATTTGTGTCCTTCCATCAGTTCATCTTCATGGTCTGAATATTAGTGAAACATCACTTCTGGTAGTTGTTTGTTTTTGTTTTGAGAAATTATCACAGCAATAGTGGGGGGATGTTTCCACAAATATTTATTCCTCTTCATTTTTTTACCCCAACAATCTTCTGCAGTAAAGATAGTCAAATTGCTACTTTCAGTTCAGAATATTTTTTAATGTTTCATTCTAGGCACTGACATCACAAGACAAACATTATAAGAAATACTATGACTTATATGAATTTCATGTAACTGCAAGTAGAAAGCCCAGTCCTATTTTGGCAATAAGCAACTACATTTACATTCAAATTTAAAACTATATTTTCCATATGATAAGTTGAAAAAAAAAAACCAAACATCTGCTTTGAATCAGCTTTGATACCTTCTAAAAAACAACAGCCCTTGGATTTTCTACTGGTCGTCCAGATATTAACAAGATCTGATCCTGCTTTATTTGCTTTGACTTTAGCCAACGTCAGACATAGATACTCTGGAAACAGTCCAAATATGTGGAACATACTTTTTCTCATATGTTTAAAATCAGAGTGTAAGTTTGCCCATTCAATTTGCAATCAGGATTGATAATATCCAAGGCAGTGGCTAAAGGCTTTAATTGCTGCGTTGATCAGGAATACATTGAATGGCACAGAGCAAAAGATCCAGAATAGAATTGGTAATCATATTATACTGCGTGCTTGAGACGTGATTTCTCCATTGCAGAGAAAAGCATGCAATTTCAAACCAACCATCCACCTTACTGTGCTTGTTCAATATTAAAAAAAACAACAACAAGCAAACCCACAAATAGCTCTTCTAAATACATCCATCCTGAAGGGTGGCATCTGATATTTTCTAACAAGAGTAATATTTGACCACTCTATGGAATTGTAAAAGACTTAGTTTATTGTGAATTGCCTCTGCTTAAATGAGATTAGTATCTTCAGTAAGAATGATACCTAATTAAATGTGGAATGCTGTTAGCTTGCAGTGCAGCTCAACGTGATATTTATCTCATGAGGGGAATAAAAAATCTCATAGAAAGCAAATACTTCTCAACTGACTGAAACAATCTTTCTTTGGTCCATGCAGCTGATGCAGGGAATGCCTTGATTATCCTGATTCCATTATTCGTTTATTTTGTGAGTTCATAATGACTGATAAAGTAGTTCTTGTTGAAGCTACTTTTGAGCAGATACCTTTAGCCTTGCGCTATAAGTCTAGTTAAGAAATGAATAACTAAAAGTGGGCAAGTCTGTCCAATACATAAGCAATTTGTTCATGAAATGTTTATTGCCCTGATCCTACTAAATTCTTTGCTCACATGTTTTGGAATGCACAGCCTCTGGCATATCACTCAAATGCTAAGTTCAGCTTTCAGCTGTAAAAAGGTTGTTTGTATTTGGCTGGAGTGATTTTGTTCTAGAATAACCACAACCCTTGACCTGCTTTATCACAAAGAAAAAGAACCAATAGGAAGTATATACATATAAATAAAATGGATACTGTTAAATTCAATCAAAGCAAGGGGAAAAGTTAAAACTTTTCTGAATGACCTCACATTCTAAGGTCTTATTCTAAGCAATAACTGCAAGACAAACACTGCTCCTATTTTTTTACTCTTATTCAGAACCTAATAATATGGAGCCAAAGTTAAACTTACTTTATTTGCCATCTCTCAAAAAGTGTTTCAGCTATATTTTTTAATAATATTCAGCATGCTATTGAAACCAAATCACAGGGATTATTGGGATAGGCACTTAAGTTCTACAAATGGAGAAAAAAAGAAATCCCTAAAATATGAATAAAATCCTTTGTAGCTTACAGAACAGTTCCTTCAGAAAAGATAAGATTAAAAACTGCTTTCAAAGACTTGTTTCATAGCATCAAATGGACCACATTTTTTTTTAAAACAAATCCCTGGCCGTCATCCTGAGTTTGACCAATATTAATTTAACCTCATGATTAACTCATTTAACTTTTATTGAGCAAATGATACCACAAAGATTAATGCACAATCTTCCATGTAAAAAATACAAACATTGAAATGAACTTTTAAAAATAAATTTACATACACTGTATAATTTTAGATGTTTTTATTAAAATACACATTTTGTTAGTCTTTCTGATTTGGCCCTTGAATTTTCCTTTGTAAAACAAAGTTGTAAACAGTCACATTTGTTTATACGTATAATTTTCTTTCAGATCTTCCCTTTTCAGGTTTGTCCTTATGGTCACCAGATTGATGTCTTAATATTCCATAATTGTGAAGAAAGAAAAGAATTAGTTGCTTTTTTTAATAAAAAAATTTCTGTGCAATGTTTTCAAAGTTAAGAACAAGGTAGTGCTAGTTTTATTTGGCAATTATAATTTTTAAATAATAATTAAGCATTGGGCTGCAGCATTCTTTTCCTATTGCAAATTCCAATAGGAAAACTAACATTCTTGAAACATTTATTTCTCAATAGATGAGCTGGAGTAGTTCCTTCATATCCCCTAATATGTCATTCTCCCATGTCATCTGTATATTGGGAGATGTTCTGAAGAGAAAAACTTTTCAAGCAGATTTACATAAGTTATATCATTGAGGCAGAATCCCATATAACTACCTGTAATAAGCAAAGCATGGATAGCTAGTTACCCATAGGAGATAAGATAATATGAAGGAATATATTCTATGTATAAAATATCCTCTTTCCTTATAGCATTAATTATATGGATATCAGGTGCAAGAAGTCAGGAGCCAGAATAGAATTCAAAAGTACTATGAGTTTATTTCATGTTATCTATATACAAGGATCTGAACTACTAAAGGTAAAGTCAAATTAGTGCTTGGTAAGAGTCAATGGACTTCAAGGAGGTTGAACTTGGGGCTGTTATGGGGGTGTAGAATCTCCAAACTAATGATGCATTTGACCCCACCCTTGGGCTCAGCCAAGTCATCTCTTATTGTAGAGCAACAATGTTGAATATTGAATTGATCATTCAATATTCATTGTTGTGATGGCTACACTGAACAGATGCTCAGTCCAGTGGATAGTTGCTTATGTATAATAGCTCACAACTAAGTTGTGGATCTTGTCATCAACTACTGGATAATATACTAAATAATCTCTCTCCTAGTTTAGGGAATATCATCAGATCTCAAATAGAGGCTGCCCCACCTGACCAAAGGGCAACAAGAATCAATACGTTGCAATCATATGTCATGTGGTTAATTGCCACAGTTTGACTATAGAAATTGGGCTTAATTGTGTACCTTTCAGTGTGTTCCACAAAACAATCAGTGCATTTCTGAGCCTGTTATCGGTACAATATATTTTTACAAAGATACTGTTAGTCACCTACTATAGATGAAATTTTTTAAAAAATTAGTTTGACATAATAAATAAGAATAGTCAATTTGAGCAATGAGAGTATCAGTAGCCACCCAACAGCAGCAATTAGCTAGAATATAGAAAGAGGCAGTGTCATATCATATTCACAAATCCTGTGAGGATGCCTTCAATGATGAAGTCAAAACTTTACACAACTCAGAATGAGAGCACTGTTGGCTTTTGAAGTGATTTCTCCATCTGCAGTCTTCAGTAAGGGCTCTTCTTTATAGCTGCATAGATGGAAGTGGTTAAACTGTGTTGGATTTCAAGCCTCTGCACCGAACAAGGTCACAGAAAGTACACCAGTAATTCAGGGAAATATTTTAACTCTTTGAGGCCTATTTCCACTGGGTAAGTAACAGAAAGCAGCCTTCGTTTCTGTCCTTCTATAGTTCCAGCTCCCTTGAAGCCCCTCTAATTCAAAGGATGTAACAAGAAGAGAATTCATTTACTTTTACATTGAAACCATGCTATTTCTTTTTCAGTCTAAGGCATTATATTAATATTGGGAGGAGTTTTAAAGCAAGCTATTAAAAGCTACAGTTCTGAAGCCAGTTATACTATAGTTTATAAACCCTAGGTACATTTATGCAAAAGTACATCTCAGTCAACTCAGTTCAGCTTCTGGACAAGTAAATATTGTTAATAATTTCATGGTGTTAATTCCCACAACAGAGTTTCAAATGTTTTTATTTTATTTTATTTTATTATTTCTTTGAGTAGCAATTAAAGAATCTTTACCTGCTTTGTCCTAATCATAACAGTTTCACTATAAATCCACTAGAAATACATTTTTTGTTACAGAGAGCAACAAAAATGTAATCATGAGAATAAGCACGATTGGATAACAGTTCATTCTAAAACAAATGTCTTTGGATTAATTTATCTTTTTTAAAAAAAATCCTAGCATTTAAACACAAAAATAGTAGGTGACATTTATGTTCAGGTTTAATATTCTCGAAACAAAATCATGTTTATAAATTGTTAAAACCATTGAAAATGACATTTTGTTAAAATTTGGACATTTATGTTTATTTTCCTTCTTAGCTCATACTTGGGCAATACATGATTACAATGATTGTCCCCAGTCTTGGCCCTTTACAGAAGTGCTTATCTACAACCTCTACAATTCTCTGCCTATAAAATCAATGTTTATTGGCTGGTGGGAGTGATATTCCAGTGCAACTGCTGAAATATTTCGGGAAGGTTTACACTGTAGCCTTCCTATGTAGAGAATGTAAATATGTTATCTGACTGGTTGAATTAAAAATTTTAATATTTAATTGAACTTTTCTATTTTCTTTCAAGATAATAGTCCTTTTTTGACAAAAGATTTGTTCATTTGTAAAAATGTACAAATGCCACCCTGTTTATATCCTGTAGCAGTAGACATCTGCTGAAAATAATCAATTCTCTTTCCTTGATATCTAATATTAGGGGCTCAAGTGATATTAGATAATGCTGTAATTCCTTTATGGTAACTCTGGCGGATATGGCAGACTTTCAGATTATTAGTTC